GAGACCAGCAAAGTCCCTAAATGTAATTAAACGAGACTACAGCTGGACGGGAAGATCGCAAGAAGGTGCCAGAGGTCAGTTTGGGTGCTGTTTATTCTAATTCCTTTCTAAACCTCTCTTTTATTATGGGAATGATGTCAGAGGCTTACTGGTTTATTACCTGGTTTTTACTATGCACACATCATCCTTTGAAGGCGTAAGAGGTTAAGAATCCGTTACATGTATACGGATTTACTTAAATGTGCATACATGAAAGATCATACTTATTTGTGCCCTCCATCCCTGCATTTTTACTCTGAGCATTACTTAGAAAGTTAGTGTCGAGCCATTTTACTGCAACACAGAATTGACCTTGGGTTGGGTACGGTGTGGCGCCGTCGATGATTTCGATGAAGTTTGGGCATTGATATGAATGGGCAGTTCTTGAAATACATCAACAACCAGTTGCCACTTGCTCATGGAACCGGTCTATGCTCCTTGGTCTGCACACATTTTGTTTTGTTCAGCTGCATTGAAAACTATTACTCAGAATTTTGTTTAGTTTGTGTTGAGAAGTTCAGAATATTAAGGAAAATTCCCACTACACGGAGAAACTAAAAAATTATTGACTTGGAGAGCTAATACGCCTGGAATTTAACAGCTCTGAGCGCAAACTGGGAAAACAAAAGCGGAATCCGAAGGAAATGAAACGGAAGCAATGTTAAAGTGGACGGAGACTATGGAGAGCAGTGGGCAGAAGCAAAGTGGCTTGAGTTTAAAAGTTCGTGAAAATAATGTCTTCAACCTGGAAAAGCTCATAAATGCGCTGGAGTGGCTCCAATGGATAGATAAAGAGGGATCAACGCCTGTAATTAGGGGTGTACCAGAATGAAAAGGAAATCAGCAGAAAAGAAAAACATGACAGTGACTCGTTCGGCTCCCTTACTTTATAGCCACGCCTCTTCCGTTAGTACTGTACGAGCCGAAGATTTCTCTACAAGTTTTGATGGCACTATAAATCAACTGCCAGCGCGCCAGCTGTCACCCTAAAAGTACAATACATTTTTCACTAGTGGGCATATTCATTGATGAAATGCTCCCCCTGAATGGGTCAAGATCATTCGACTTTTGTCCCCAGTTGCCAACAAAATTTAAGCCATAGTCATTTTTTTGAAAGCATTCAAATAACAACAATTTACTTCTGTTTGTCTTCCTAGACAACTGAAGCCAAGTAGCTATTCCAGAAGCAGAAGTGGTTTTTAGGCTATGTTTTCAGCGATTTTTTTATTAGTGTTTTGGCTCTGCGTTGGTCAGTGTACGTCAGATTTCTCTGTAGGGCTTTCACTCTGCTGCGCCTGGTTCCTTTCTTCGGGGAGGGGGTGGGGGCATTCTGCAACGGCTGATCTGGCATATCTAGACTATTCTTTAATCTTTTATGTAGATAGTTTTGCTGTGCGGACAAACTAGTCTTAACTGTGAGATGATGACCATTATGTCTTATGATTCGATACAGAAAATTATGTCGAAAGTCCTGACTAGTGATCAAAAGTTTTAGTTTCTGATTTGTCCCCGTCGAAAGACGTAGTCGTGCGGTCGTTTGTCCAATGTTGGATCTAACAAACATCTTGAAAGTAAAAGTAATGATATTTTTCCTCCACACGAAAATATCAATTGCTGTTGACTTTGAAACGCCCCTATCGAAGTAAACAAATTACGAAGTTGCAATTTGACTTTTGACTTTTTAAATGTTCTCATTGTTGGTCTGTATTACTCATCCTGTATTGTTGCAGGAACGGTTCAGTTTTCTTGTTATGAAGTCGGGCGTCTAAGCATAAACGTGAACTAAACGTTCTTTCAGCATGGACTGCCGCAGGTTCAATCGCGGTCATCGCCTCAACATGTGCTCTAGGATATCTTGCAACAGATCTGTTCGAGCCCCGAGTCGCATATGCCGAAGCACCCTCGTCAGCGAAAGAGTTTTCGCCACCGGAAAGAAAAGACCTGCCCATATTCAAAAAAGAGGAAGTGAAGAAACATGGGAAGGATTCTAAGACCATTTGGGTCACGTACAAATCGGTGAGTGTCGAAATCATTCTATTAAATGTTAGTGTTCTTAGATAATAGACTATCATTGAAAGAATTTTCTTTCATATCTCCCTTAACAGGTCGAACCTATGCAGTTTTGATCACTTCAAACGATTTTTCCATATATGAAGATTGTTTTACCGCTGTCCAAGTCTTGTCTCTTAGTTTCCAGCGGAAAATTAAAGCTTGAATCTCCACCTTAGCCGAACTACATAGCTAACAGGCGAGATTTCCTGCACGGAACTTGTTTTTGTGGATTAACATAACCTTTTGAGTTGAACGCACACTTCAGTATACTTCCGGGTTATTTACAATACAGTAGTTCTAGACGAGTAATGGAAGTGATAGTCCTGAATAGTGCAGAAATGTTGAAAAAACCCGAAAAGCTGCGTATTCGGAGAAATATGTATAAGGCTTCGAAAAACAAGCAAAATTATTGGTTGGACGAGCATGTGACGAAAAAAGCCGCATGGAGCGGGTAATTTGACGAGCTGCTCAAACGTGTGCGCCATTGCATATGTACAGTTGGCTGCATTCGTGCAAGGTATCTATCCCGGAGCGAATGGTGCATCCTCTACAGCTTTTACAATGCTCGACAACTCGTTCCCTTGTGTGTGTTCGTTGGCTAAGCCGGTTTTGGGGCCTTTATTACGCCCTATCTTGACTGTTTTTCAAAGCGCTCTTTAGGCTGTGCTTGGGGCCACAAGTTCATCCTGAGAAGGAATATCAGAAGTCATTTCTATTGTGTACCGCGCCTTTAAGCCAGAGTCTGTTAGGAATGAAAACTGATGTACGCGTAGATTACTGTTATATCAGTGAACAGTCACTCAAAAAACCTGATGCACTAAACAACATTTACTGTTTACCATGCATGAACATCACTTGCTCTATTGGGATCCATGACATTTTCTGGTGACCTGCATCAGCGTTTTCTGGCCCTTGTTGGAGGTTACAGGCATGCATGCGCATCCAGTCGTATCCATTCGCCTGAGCAGCTTTCATGTGCCTCGTTGTGCTCTTCTTTCTTAGCAGTTGTCATCATCCTCCTTTAAAAATTATTGCTTTACTCGGATAGTAATGTTCGAGGTTCAGGGGGTGTATGATATCAATAATTGTTGTTTACTCGGATCGTAATGTTCAAAGTTTAGGGGGTGTATGATATCACCGAGTTCCAAAAATTGCATCCTGGTGGAGACAAAATATTGTTGGCTGCTGGCGGTGCAGTAGATCCTTATTGGAGTCTTTATGCGCAACACCAAACGAAGGAGGTAACTTCATAAATATCATTTGGACTTTAGACAAACGTATGAAGTAAAATGTTTGAGGTAATGGAGATTCTGGAAGATTATCGCATTGGGAACCTTGATCCGAAAGATGTGGAAGCGACAAAGGCTGTAAGTTCCAGTTAGTGATTAACTCCACTTCGTTATACTGCTATCTGCTATCCTACTCTTTCCTTCTCTGCTTTACTTCCCTTGTTGGTGATGTCTCTGTGGTGCAAGTATTTGTTTGGAAGTGTACACCTTCCATTTCTCTCACTCGGGTTTTTCGTTCTTAGGTTGATGCGTCTGACCCGTTTCGCAATGATCCTGAACGACATCCTGCCCTAATTGTGAATCAACAACGTCCTTTCAATGCTGAAGCCCCAGGAGAGCTTATCATGGATCATTTTCGTACCCCGAACGAGCTATTCTTTGTTCGACATCACATGCCTGTACCACAGGTTCCGAAGGTTTCTTTTTGTCGAGAAAATTCATCCCTTGTGTGGGCCTACCAATTTGTGTACCTTTTTCCCCTTGTTCATCCCTCGCCTAAAAAAAAACATTAGTTTCGAATTTCGTTCACAAAAGAAGGAGATAGCATGGCGAAAGGCTTATTCGTAGCGAAGCGTACGCAATTACAGGGTGACCCACATGAAGTGTGACGCAGAAAACTAGCAACGAAATTGTCAAATCAAACCAAATAGGAAACATTTATTTCTATACAGTCATCACAAAATTGTGAACAGCATGTTACATCTCACATGCGGAACAACCGCCTTTCGCTTTAAAGGCACTGTTCACGAAAAAATGGTTTCGTACATGGTTGCACATGGTTTGAATTCGACGCCCCCTCTGATACCATTTGTGCAGGAATGAGGTCGGAAAACGGTCTGGATAGGGCACAATAAGGGGCCGGAGAGTTATCCACGGTCGCCCTCCGCTCCTCGCTAGGCTGACTACAGAATCTAATTGCCGTTCACCACTTTCGCATTGGAGCGAAGTTGGTGAAAAATCGATAAGCTGATTGGCAAATTGCCAGGTTCAAGTCTGTAGTCTAAATCAGCTGTTTGGCTGTGTTGTCTGCTATTGCAGACATTGCGTCGCCTTCGTGTACTCGCCCGAACACTCCCTAACCGCCGTTCTTTCAATGTGAAACTCGTTCAACCCCCCCNCCCCCCCCCCCCCTTTCCAGCTCTTTTTTTGACCCTTTGTAATTCTTTTTGTTCATCGTTTTTTGCGCTTTTTTCGTTGTTATCGCTTTATTCTAGAGAAGTTCTATCAATTCTCGTCAAAAAAGGGTACCCTAAATTTATTGCGAACGGTGCCTTTAATGCAAGCATCCTGCCTCTCTCAGAAGTTTTCAAGAATGCACGCAATCACTTTCATCCCACGCTTTTACAAGAGAGCTTTTTTCAGAGGGTCCAGAGACCTGTGTTTGAAAGCGCAGGCTGTTTGCTCCAGAATCACCCATACAGCAAAATCCAAAAGATTGAGATCGGGGAATTGGAAGGTCAAGCCTGCTTCGCCGAAAAAACCGGAAGCGTGGTTTCACAACATTGCAGCGTCTTCTTCGAGCTGTGGGCTGGTGCCCAATCCTGCGGAAGGTTCAGCTGACGTTCGTCGCGTTCCTTTCCGCCCAAGGGATCAACGTATCCTCCAGTCCAGAAGCCCATAAGTTAATTTTTTATTGCCCATCTCACTTCGTGTATGTCACCCTGTACACTAGTTCTGTCGTGGTAATGTCACATTTGCTCTCCATTATTCTAAGTAATTCGGAGTGTGTTTTGAAGCTCTGGAAGCAGCAGGCAGTTTGAAACATATGTGGCTTGGTGCTAAGTCGGTGACGGGATCAAATTAATGGTAACTATGCTAATTTCAAGTGGTCAGTTTTAAACTCCTCAATCAGGGAGGCATCAATTCAAGCCACTAAGCAGTTCTCTGCGATGACTCTGCCTACGTCGCTGTTCCCTGTGGTTCTCCTCTGTTTCCTTTTTCTGTTGAATATTTTGCCCTATCGTGATTGAATTGGTAGACGGTGCTTTAGACTTACGGAAAACTAACAATAAGTCATAAGTCATAAAATATGCACATATAAAGGATGTAGAACTGCGGGGAAGGTGGTTGTTCTTCACTTTCCATTTCCATCCTTTCTACCGCAAACCAACCATCCAACCATAGTTGAGGTTATGGGGAGCGCCATCATTTCCGCTTCCACCTTGGAAGCTGATTGTAAGCTTACCATGAGTCACGGCGGTGTATGTCATCGCCATGGAAGTCTGTCTGACCGGTGACTGCGAGTACTGGAGGTGCTTCAGTTTTTGAACTCTGCACAGTACGTGGGCGGGATTGGCCATTCCTCTTCTGGTGACGAGAACAGCCTTCTTTACCGTGAGAATCCACCAGCACGTAGGATCGCTTTTATTTTTTTTTTGGAGGGAGGGGGCGGCTATCCTAGCTTGCTGACACACTGCCGCTTTATTCGCTCAGTAGTTTTCGTGAGCAGTCGTTGACGGTAAGGGGCATCACTTCTCCAAAAACCCGGTGTAAGTCATCAGTAAAATAGACGGAACTTTCTAGAAGCAAATATCTAGCATGCAAAGCAGCAATGAGTTACCCTAACAATAAGACAACTACTCGACCAAAATATGCGTTGACCTGAGTGTACCATGAGCCTAGTGTATTATACACATAGACATGTGTATGTGTCTATGTATCCCTGTTACGAGTAACTGTAGTTGCAACGTATATTTTGATGAAGTTGTTGTCTTATTCAAGTTTTGCGTAGTTTTGCATCGTTTGTCTGTGAGTATACTTGTTACTACTACTACAGTTACTCATAACAGGTACATTCATAGTAGCGTGGTACAAAACTACACAAAATTCAAAGCAAAGCATGCAACCCAGATATTTTTTGCTAAGAGAATCTTAGCAACTCACTCTCATTTTTCGCTAATTTCTTAGCTAAAGTGTTAAGAGAAAATCTGTGATTTTCGCCTTTTTTAGGCCCTTAATCGGTTCTGTTATTAGCATTTGTAACTATAACTCGCCGTCGCTCAGAGCCATGGCAGCCAACGGTATCGGTACCATTCCAAATCGAAATTAATCAGAAGACAAATCACTTTTTTCCAAAACAAAGTATATACATACTCCCTGTCAAAGCGCTGACAATAATGATAGAAAGCAGGCGTATTCTGGAGGTTGATGTTGCATATTACTAAGATGAGTTTCATAGAAAAAGCATGAGATTGTTCGGAAATTTCTGAGACTCGCTAGCCAGTACTGCTGCGACGAAAAAGTAGGAGACGCGTCGATTCCTTCTGCAGACCTCGTTTTGATGAATGAAATAAAAGTTTAAAATATGCAAAACTCCCCAAGAAATTTCGTATATTTGTTTGAGCAACGGTTTTTTATAGATCGATCCAAAGGAACACCGGCTGACAGTCGAAGGAGTAGGAGTGAAACGGCCAATAAATTTATCTGTGGATGAGTTGAAAAACAACTATCGGCCAGTGTCAATCACTTCTGCAATACAGTGTGCGGGCAATCGTCGAGCTGACATGAACAAGTAAGCCACTTTATTCCAAAAGATGACAGTTTGCTCTGGGATAATCAGATATAACAAATCTTCGCCAATGGCGAATTTTACCCTACATTACGGTCATCGTGGCAGAGAACCTAAGTTATAGTCATTTCTTGCGCGATGTACTCTATAAGAAAAGGTGAACACTATGAGTGTTACTACTCTAGAAGTATAATATTTCGATGAACAATTAGCTAAAGTGTATATCCAGCATTCCTCATTACGAGGCTCGGTGAGCTGGTTCCAAAACTTCGTAATCCTTACTTTATATAAAGCGCTCTGTCTGTCCGTCCGTCCGTCCGTCCGTCCGTCTGTCTGTCTGTCTGTCTGTCTGTCTGTCTGTCTGTCTGTCTGTCTGTCTGTCTGTCTGTCTGTCTAAATATTTGTACGGAAATTCATAACTCCTTTCCCCGTGGACCTAAGACGTTTAAATTAGGTAGGAGTATAGGGGCAGGATGGGAAAACATATGGTGGGTGGCAGGACCGGACTCCGCCCACAGGGGGCGGGGTTTGTGCGAAATAAATGTTCCAGCGGAAAATCATAACTCCTATCTCAGTGGACCTAGAAAGTTTAAATTTGGTAAGAGTATCTGAGGCAGGGTGGGAATACGTATGGTGGGTGAGAGGACCGGACTCCGCACTCAGGGGAGAGGTTGGTGCGAAATAAATGTTTCTTGGGAAATCATATCTTCTGCCTCTGTGAAGCTAGAAATTTCAAATTTATCAAAAAGTACCCGAGGCATGGTAGGAAGGTAGGTGGCAGGATCGGGCCACAGGGGACGCCGCGGTTTGCGCCAAAACTGTCAATTTGGCCCTAGGGCGTTCAAACTTGGCAGGAGTGTAGGCTGCAGGATGGGAACACTTATGTAGGTGGGAGGACTAGACTCCCTTTCACTCGACAAGAAGGGTAAGTGCACTGATAGGGACCATTATGAAATTTGGTTCACTTCTTGCTTACGATGGCTACCCAGCGAAGTTTGCGATTCAATGAAGGGTCACGGTTTCTCGCTGTCTTGATATCATTCATAGCAAAACTTATCCGACCGCTAACAATAATTGGATTCTCACTTAATGATGTATCCGTAGAGAAAAGGAGCTACATTCATAAAGACATTTGAAAATGGTATTATTATGACTCGAAAGCATTTGTGAGTAGTATTCAAGGCTTTGAGTGCCAGCCAGTTAAATCTTCAATGGGTCATTATTTTCAACATCAACAGCGACAGATCGAGACAGACGGATTCTAATCAAAGGCATAGGCATCGGCACATTTTGCATATCGTTTGCATGCTTTACTGTTCCTGTATCGAACTTCGTGTCCGAAAAGTAACCCTTGTTCCAAAGAAGCAGTGTTCTGTTTGCCGTTTATCACAACTCTAGTAAAGGAAGGAGGGAAGCCCGGCGTTTGGGTTATGGCCAACGATGATGGTATGCAGAACTTGTATTTGAGTCAGCTATTGATAGATTCTTCAAGAGCAGGCAGAAGATAAGGATGACGCAACTCACGCGCTTTTTTCGGCATCAGAAACAGAATCTGATACCAGTAGCTCAGAGGATGAAGGCGGTGTTCATCCTTGGTTAAGTGAAATTAAAGAATGCGATAGATTCACTTCCGATGAGGACTACGGCGTACACGATGATTTTCTTTGAGTTCTACAAAGAACGACGCCAGCCTGGAAGTAACATTAAATCAGTGCTAGTTAACCACCACAATACTATGAAAGGTTTCGTTGAACAATTAGGCGAATGGCCCCTTATACCTCGTTCGTAAGGAAGACATGCATTGGTGGGAAAGGATTTTCTTCCATTGATCACACAAATCGCCATGGTCAATGCAAAAAGCTGTGCAAGGACATAACAGGTCAAATAAAAACCAACGATTTCAAGAAAATTATTGTCGAGTCACTAGTGGCAGCTGACATTTCGTTTCCTATTTCTACTCCGCCAATGAAGTATAATGTAGAGGAGGTTAAAAGTTCCAAAGTTAACGAGAAGAATGTGCTCGAAGTGTTACTCAAATTTCAACCAATCACACTAACGTGTATACGTATTCTTGAGCACGCAGGATGCAGCTCCAGAAAGCGTATATATGTACCTCCGTGGGACTGGCGATTGAATCAGGCATGATCACACGGTGTACCTCCATGTGGTGAGGCCTGATTTAAAGTCTTGAGAGGAAGGAATGTTAAAAAGTGGAAATATAGATAAGTAAAAAAACCATGTGGACTGCATTATCGTCAATGGGTAAAGTGTCAGTGGCTGTAATTCGAAAGTACATGAATTCTCATGTCCATCTTACCCTTCAGGGCTTTCAATTCAAGGAACTCCTAATAGTCACCTAGGTATATCGATACATTTTAGGATACTGCTTATGAATGTAGAAGTTCAAACTGCTAAAAGAGCTGTCCAGAAAGTTACGAGTGCTCGATGTTTTTGCTCAAACAAAGGTTGATGATAGTGTCAAAAGGTAGTGTTGTCCAAGGTGAAGGCAACCAGTGCCGTGGCGCAGGAAGAGTGCTCTCCCTCTTTAGACGAAGGATATGGGTCTGCCTAGCGCATTCGACATTTCCTTGCACAGCGTGCTTTCTTTTCTTTAAATGGAAGCTTTTTTAGATATTATCGATACTTGTTAAAGTAGACGGTCTATTTCGGCTCTGATATAAGCTCGCAGCACTTATTCAAGAGGAAGCGTTTCACCAAAGAAGTTTATGTGCCCCTCCTTCGTATGGTATTTGGGACGTTATGTTCTATGTGGTTTGGTGTATGAGGATTAATGAGCGTAAATGATAGCCGAAAAGAGGCGCTTACTGGAACAGGTATCAAAACATATTGAAAGCTTTCATTCGAAAGGAAACGCATTGTGAAAATAGCTGTCGACAACGGGATAGATCCACATCCTCGGCTCGAAGAGTTCGGGTGCGCGCGAAGCTCGCCATAAAGGTTCTATCGCTTCTCCTTTGACAATCTCTCGCCTTTTTTCCCAAGTTCCAGTACTTCTTTGAGCGAGGTTGCGAATTTCTGACTTCAGCTCCTTCCACATAGACTCGTGTCAGCCTATTTTGGGTGGACTTTCACATTATTTAGGCAGACCTGACACGGCTTATATCTTACTCATTTCTACGACTTTTTCCTTGGCCTTTAGGTTGTGCTGAAATCGATCTTTTCGTATATGTAGTTATTTTCGCTCATGATGAGGACTCTCACCCCACCGCGAGCTTCTCCGAAGATCCTCTAGTCTATGGCAGGCAGGCAGATCGCTGTTCATCAGAATATCCGTAAATGCCCACGTTTCAGCATCCACCAGAAAGAGCTCTTTTTTGTGCAATTTGAAGGTTGTACCTCTGAAAACTTCACCAGAAAAAGCAAAACTATGAAGAATGTTGAATATACATATACTATGTCACGCAATCACAATGTTTCACAGTTTCCTGTTAAGTAGGTTTTATTTTTTATTTGTTCAAAGGCACGATTGACAATAATTTTGAGGTACCCTTTTTTAATTGAAGAAGAGGTACGAGATCGCCGTGATGGTTATGGCACGTATGAGATGTTCGGGCGAAATTTAACTGGCTCCCATTGTTCAATGAGATGACCACATCAAGTCAAAATTATCCGAAACTGCCTTTCTCTATCGCTAAGGGTTAGGAGAGGGTGTTTGAACCTCCTACCTGGGAGTCTCTTGAGGTGGTACAGCTTCTACAAAGCCGTCGGAATTCGTCCACGGTGGGTGTGGCATCCACACGATACAATCTCTGGCCACCTATTGTGTCCTATCCATGACGTTTTTCGACCTTATAACGGCAGGTATGGTATAAAAAGGAAACTTGATTTACGCTATAGGGAAATCTCAGAAACCATTTTTATCGTGAACTGTGCCTTTAAGAGTTGTGACATTCCACCAAATGATGCTCTCTCAGGTACAAGAAAACCCAGGGACTCGCATGGAACGGAACAGCAATAAGCAATGCTCAGTGGACTGGTGTTCGATTGCGTGTGAGTTACAGAAAATCGTACTTTTTCTTGCTCTTCTTCAGCTCCCAGCTTCCTCTTGAAGGAGTCTCTGAAGGAGCAGAAACGCAATTAAGAGTTGAGAATCGCGGATCTGTTGCTTCTTCTAGTAGTTGCCCATGTCCGTAGTTAATTGAAAATGTTTTCATTTTTACGGATGAAGCCACACTTATGAGAGCAGAAAGGCCGATTACTTAAAAATGACTAAGTTCGGCTCTCAAAGAATGCGAAAGCGCCGAAACGTCTGTCGAGTGAGGATTTTTCAAAAACATGGATCCTGCAGCTTGAGAAGTAAAGCTTAAGGTAAAGCTCGAAAACATGAGGAGTATGAAGTAGTTAGCATAAAGTTCAGTATCATTAAGGTGAAAATTTGTAGATCAAATACCAGTATGCACGATACTCAAGGCTCAAAATAAGTTGTGTGTGATCGGAAATTCATCCCTTGTTTCCCTGGACCTGAAGCGTTCGATCGTGGAAATATTCAGACCGGGAAATGCTTATGACAGGTGGCAGAGTGATAATCCTCATTATCTATGAAACGCTCGCGTCTGTCTGTCTACCTATCTGTCGAAATGCGATAATAACTTAAGGAACATCTGGAGAGATCGGAATGGGTTGAGCACAACGCAGGGAGAGTAGAGCACTTGTTAACACACAGTAGGGCGTACACATAATAGCATAATAGTCCTAGAAATTTGACGCGGTACTACGCGTATATTCCGTTTTATAGTGGCACTGTATAAGATATCAGCGCAGACCATCTGCGCGCTCTTATGCGAGTAACCCAGGGGAATACAGGTTTTTGACTGAACCGAAGGGAGGTAGTAGCATCGGGATGGGTGATATGATTACCTCATGCGAAAAGCTGTGAGCTCGCTCACCCTGGGGCTCCTTCTATCCTGAGGCTTGTTCGAAAAGTTGTATTTAGGTCGAGTTTGAACTTCTGGCCAAACACATACACCCAGTTGACGCACCTAAATATGGGAGGGTGATAAAGAGGCTGACTTCATCATTCTATCATTCTTTTCCAGGATTTGCTGATATTAGCCGGAGTAGATCCGAACGATTCTAAAATCAAGCATGTTCATTTAGAGGGTGCTGACTCTGATTCAACAGGTAGGGCTGCAGTTATAGAAAGCAGGGAATTTCGTTAATTAACGACTATCCTTCAGGTCAGTCGTATGGAGCTTCAATTCCATTTGAGAAAGCAATGAGTCCTGAAGTAATCATTGCTTACAGCATGAATGGAGAAGACATCCCTCGAGATCATGGTGCTCCTCTACGTTGTATCGTCCCCGGTAAGTGATTTGTTTTTGGGTTAGTCGCTTTTTGCATCTTTGTTGATGTTGTCAAAAGTTTTTGCCTAGCACTAAAGGTAAAGAAAAGCAGGCTTATTATATTTAGGGCGAAATACAGAAAAAAGGTAAAAGGGGACGAGGTGAGGTTGACGACGAGTTACCAATGTGCACAGTTCATTGCTTTCTTTGTACCCCCCTTTCCTGTCGTTGCCGGGTGTGGTGTGTGATTCACGCGCCAATATAATGAGGTCATCGAACAACACACGCTAAAACATCATACCTACCATCATAACGAAAGAAATAAGAACTTATAATAGAATAAGTAAAGAAATAACCAACTGTGCACGTTTACAGAAGGATTGCGTTTTCTAGGATCAAAAAATTTGAAGTTAATCTTATTTTGAACGTTTGACAAGCAAATTGACGAACTATGGTGTGAATTCCTAATCTCGAAGGGGCTTCATGGCCATAGTAAAGATATTTCTCTAATTCATGGTGAAGCCGTGGACTACTGCAAATTTATTTGGTCCATCTCAACAGAAAGGTACTGAAACAATGCTGCGTGCGCGAAGAGCTCTAATGGGGTCACGCGTGAATCGCGCGCCCCCCGTCGTTGCCCAATGCCGTTTCTACCGATCTTTCTAATAAATGAAGTAGTAACCTGATGTGTCGATTTGTAGGTATGTAGGGCATGATTATACTGAATGTAGTGAAATGGGAAACTGGATATTAACACTGAGAGGGAAGCTCAAATATACGTTGGCGTGATGTCAGCATCAACGCACAGCATGGGTCATAACAAATGTGTATGCTCCACCTGATGACCAGTCAACACCAAATTGTGGCATGACTAAACAGCAACAACCGAAAATCGTTACTAATGGTAATCCACATCATAATAGGCAATCATGTCTAAACTCTCAACTGCAGTGTAGGCTGATATATTACCATAGCAAGTAAGACACGTAATGAACTGACCATGAGAACTCGTTGTTTGTATAGCTTTCGGTGTATTTCTGTGTAAGTTGGTATGTTTGTTTGACGGAAAATCCGTAACTGCTGTTCCTCTACACCTGGAGCGTCGTATCAAGAAGGGATACATGCGGTAGGATGAGAACACTGATGGTAGATTGTAGGAAATTGTAAATTCCACGTTGAGTGAGTGCAGTGGTTAGGACCGATCACGGCCACTACCACACGGTCACATAAGAAAAACAAAGTTCGGTTCATTCCTGTTGCTTGATCACGACAACTGCGCGTTAATTGGATACCCAACAAAGAACCCTGTACTTTGTTCCGGTACCAGTTGCCACGAATTCTCGGGCCGGCAACAGTCTGACAATGAACATCTCGCATGAAGGTAAGAATGAATATGAGTGTGTACTTCTGGTAGTGCTGTTATCATGACTCGACATTTATAAGTATAACCAGTCGGGCCGCGTGGCTTACGCTGGGACTAAATCCTCATATTTACCAAGTAATTAGAAAGTGTACACTTAAGGGGGGGGGGCACTGCTCTTATCCAACACTGAGGGCTAGAGTGCAGAGAAGGGGTAGCCGACCTGACCTGTACTTAGGCGAAAGAATATGGTTTCAAGCTAAGCCTCAGTAGGGGAGGAGAGGCGGGGTGGGGGTGTGGTGATGAACTAGTGCAAAAAGCTAGGATGGGGTATGAGTCGAATATTCATTTGACTCACCCACCTCGGGACCCCTTCCCTCCTATAGCTCAGATCAAAAAACTGTATATTTTCGGCTGCGAAACGTTAATGAGCACAATTATGGGCTAACCTTTTTATGTTGAGATTATGTTGAGAAAGAACGGAGGTCTCCCAATTTCATCATCACCTCCGATTATTGTAAAGACACCAGTTGGGCTACGCACGCCAATGCGTGCAACATATGCCCACGCTTACGCCTGCGATTGAAAGTGTCAATCGGTTGCTCTTCATCTTGAAAATTATGAGCCATTAAAGATTTAACTGATAGGCAACCAAAGAATTACGCAGTACACACACAAAGTTCTCAAGTGATAATAACGCCACTATGAGATGTCGTTATCTCTGGACCTTCTTTCCTCCCCGGGTACATCACTAGTTAAGATATCCAATTTATTGGCGGTCTTATTAGCTTTGTCGTGAATGATATCAAAACATTAAGTAACCTTGATCGTCCATCGAGTTGCAAAGCTTGCTGGGTAACGGTCGTAATCTATATAATAGTCGTAATCATAAATACATCGCAATTACCACAGCAGTGAAATTCAATTGGTGATTGCTCTTATCATCCGTTATCAGCTGTTATCAGTCCCTATCATCTGTCGTCTACATTTACGCCATAATCCACATCACACGCCAAACTGTCACGTCTCCACTACTAATGCCGTTATTATAGCGGCACTACGCTTTCGAAGATTTTCATTAGCCCTTATCAGTTTTATCAGCTCCTGGCCTGGCACCAACCGTTCTCAATCCCGTCACCGAGAACCTACGATCCTGTCACATCTTACATAACTTATTAAAATTCCAACATTCCATGATTAAAA